TTGCCGAGTTGAAAGTGGGTGACAAAATGCACTCGCATTGCGAACACACACACACACACAGCTTCTCGACAATATGCGTTTTTGCTGGCGCTGCACAGCAAAAACGCATAAAAACCGCGCTAGAGTATGAAATTTAGCAGGCTGACAATTTTGACAGATAGGCATCAAATTCGGCAAGGGCTGGATACGATAAACTGCGTTAAGAATAGGAAAACTGGCAATTAAATATGGCGTTAAGTGATGTTATTGTAGGATGCGCTGTAGCAGTTCATTAGTATGCTGACTCCGTCCCTGCGTCCTGCACTGAAAGACCCTGCGGTCCCAGAAATAATGCTGCTTCTACTGAGCAAAAGCAACTGTACGCGAATGCAGCGAGGCTGCCGACAGACCTTTTTCCGCGAGTAGCAATGGTCACTGTCCTTTGTTATAAGGTTTGCTACCGGACATTTTAGAGGAGCAACACCATCGTTATGGCCTACATAGTAAGCGATTTATTTTTCAAATGCTAAATTGCATAAATAAATTCAACTGAAGCATTTCGTTCTGGAGAGGAAATTTGACTGTTCACGGAACTACTTCGCCCCTCCCCCCTCTCCTCCTCGCACAGCAGCGCAGGCGAAGTCTTTCTTGGGAACAAGAAAAAAAAAGCAAACTAATAGATTGTAGCCGTATGTTGCAGCAAACAGAAAAGGCATAATTGAACTGAAGGAAATGTTCTGGAATGAGAATGACGAAGAAGCTGGAGCAAACAATCCAAATTTGGTCTGGATTGGCTCAGCGGTCAAAAAGAACAAGCACGCAAACACACAAATGTCCACATAGACAGACATCATTGGGCACCTGCAAAACAGAACAAGTCGCGTGAAGACACAACACCGATTCTACGGAATTAAGACCGCCGAACGCTGTACTGCCATCTTAAATGGTCCCTACCCCGCTCCGCAACACCATTCGATATCGGACACCTCACTGCAGCTCCTCTCAACTACCACCTCTCCTAGCCACTTTTCCGGCACAATGTCCATACTGCCTCAAAAATCCTGACAGTCTCTGCTCTCTCTCTCTCTCTCTCTCTCAAATTACAGACAATCCATTGCAAGGACCAGAATTGGTTCGAATCCCACACTGTTAATTAATACAGTAGCCATGCTTATTTTTTTTTTTTTTACACGCTCTCTGGATCGGTCCGACGTAGATCCGAATTAATCAGACACTTTCGCTAGAAAAAACATGGGAATTACTTTTCTGACGACCCATAAGAGCTGGTTCTGCGGAAAACTGAGACAGTGGAGGGATTTCATAATAAAATAAAAGTGAAGTAATTTAAGCGCTTAGTTTTGTAGAAATAATCTCAATCATCGCAGAATAACAACTGCGATCAGTTTAGACAGGAAGCATGAAAAGTCTTTACGGGACGTCTTTTCTGACTAATATAACATTGGTGAACTGATCGATCCGTTAATCTGGATAAAGGGAATGATGGGTAGCCACAGCCACAAGTACAAGATCGTAGTCGGTGGAAAAGTTGTCAGCTGCATGGACGGAAACTAAGAATCCGAGTTAATACCTACTCTAAGTGTTTCAGATAACAAATGAGCACTCACTGCAGTAGTGACAGTTTTCAGGTTCCACTGTGCTATTAATTCTGTTGTTTGAAAGCAGAGTACGGAATACTACGCTTGCTAAAAATAGAGTGACAATGTGGTGATAATACTGTCAAGATGACAGTGATCCAGTCAATCACTTCTGGAAAAAACTGGTCCACCAACACTGCGACGCATCCTGTGAGCGGACTGTAAGGTGCGGCTGGTGAGGCTAGTCAACCGGTGATGTACGACCCTTCGGAACTATGGTCGCCAGTTGTGTTGGGCGCACGGAAAGAAGGGTGTGCGGAAGCGCATCGTTGCATGCCACGTGTACCAATGTTACAATGTAGCAAGTGAGCGCAAGCTACCCTCCTTGCCCTCACCTATGAGCTGAGGATGGGGATGAAGTGCAGCAGCATCTGCACCAGTTGTTCTTTTCCCCATTACGAACTAGTGTATACAAAGACCAAATGTATGAGCGTTTCAGCACGCATTCTGCGGAGCTCCTAGTTTTCGTCAACTAAATTTTGCCCTCCTGTAGTTATTTATCATGCTTCTTAGACGTAAAATTGCCCAGCCACATTCCCCTGCCACAGTTCTAGTTCATTTTCGGCTTTCTACATGCTCCTCCCAAGCAGCCCATTTGGCTGCTCCTCCGGTACCGGGATCGGCATTATTTGAGCATATGGAGGCTGAAAGTATTGCCAGCGGGGTAAGGAAGTCAAAAGCTACACCGACAGACCTGGATCTGCAGCTTCTTGAAGAAGTAAGTCTGGTTTTTGAAACGCTTGAACCCGTCCTGCTTTTAGAAATAAACATTAAGCAAGGAGCTTTCATCATCTCTCTCCCTCCCTCCCTTCTTCCCCGCTCTTCCATAACCCATCCGGCTCCGCTTGTTATTCTCCCGTGCAAATACCTGTTTTAATTTGTTTATAACTGCAGTTTCTTTGTATATTGGCACAAGAAACTTCTGCCACTCTGCCGACGGCCGCTGTTTGTCGGACGGTTCACATGCAACGCGTTCGCAGCGCATGCGTCTAGCATTCGTTGCAACCAAAGATTGTGGTTTTGCGTACTAGATGATGGAATTTTTCTTTCCTTCGGGACGGAGAATAAGGTCAAGCGGCAATCGGAGGCCCATTTTTTGAGAAAGTAGTCGTGCAAGTTGTCGGCCTGCCCGCACAATGGTTTTAAAAAAAATTGATACAAAGAGAGTTTTAATAGCTCATTCCGATAGTTACAATTCCACTCCCCTCTCTAAGCATAATTAGACCAAAACAAAGCTAATATGGAATGCACTTGATGACAATCATTTACACTGTTAATGATCTGACTGTTTCGAGGTCAGCGCAAAAACGCGTGATCGCCTGGAAATCCTACAGCTCGTTACTTCCTCGTATACCGGAGATCCCGGAAATTTTAAAGTGGCGAAAAGCGCATTCAGACGCGAATACAGTAACCAAGACAACCGAGACTGCTCGGTTATTTGTGCAGATATCTCATTCCAGTGATGTTACAGTGATACTTTCATACGTCAGGCGCCTCTGTGCTAGACCCTTTGGTACTTAGTTGTATACCTCTAATTAGTATTCGAAGAAATCATTAAGTCGATTCTCATATATGGACGCGCAACTGTTTTGCCGGGAGCCTGAGGAGGAGGGGGAGGGTGATTGATTCTGGGGTAAGGAGGGGCGTTGGTCCTGGGGAGTATGAGTGGAATCCGAGGC